ATCTCTTAGTGATCCTCTGAATGTGACGGTCCCTGATTCTGTTGTTGAAAGCTGTGCTATTACCATATTACTTGGCAGTAATAGAAACCTTACTACAAATATCTTTCTGTTGTCTCAGAAACAGACTTGTTTGGCAGTTTTAACAGAGGATGGTAAATATAGGTTGAGTCTGAATCCCTTTATTATGTTCCCTTATTGACATTGTGAATGATCAAAGTTGAAACACCAGTACGGTAACAGAAACAAAGTGCTCTCTGCTGTTACTTTAATCCTCATTAATGGGAAGAAAGCCTTCTCGGTTTCTTCCTATTAAAGTATACAAAATGCAACTTGAAAGTCTTCGTCTTTAAATTTTTAAAGATCCCAGGAGAGACCTAAACTAACTACTTAGCCCAGCATCAGGGTTTGTAAAAGATGGTGGGGTAAGAACACTGTAACTCCCTAGAGTAGTGTGGTAACTCCCTGAGTAAAGTTTGAACTGAAATTCCAAACTTTGGGTAGGAGTGGGACGTGCCTGGAGATTTGGCCTGGCCTTAGGGAACAAGAAAGAATAGCCTGTACGGTAATTTAGAGAAGGTTAGGGATGGGCATTAGCCTGGAGGATTTTTTTCCTATGGAAAATTGATCTGGAATGCTGTTTATAGAGAGAATACCAACAACTTTTCCGTATGCTGGGGTAATGCAGTATCTGAAATCTGAAGTAGATATAGAATAGGAAGCAGACATTTTAAAAAAAAGCACTTGCATGATATTATAAATAACAATACATTTATTGATGTGCTATTTCTAGAGACAGCATCAGTCCAAAAGTATTAAAGACTCAATACTATCAAGTGGAGGGATCAAATAAACTTCAGGAATATCTATAATACTTTTCACAAAAATTACCTGATTACTGTATGATCGCATTACAACCCTATTGCAAATTATTCTTATGAAGGGGAATTCTGGTTGCTTGGCTCCCTTCTGCCTAAAATCTAAACCTTAACAGTGTTGACTTAGCTTTGCATGCAATATATAACTGTTCATAAACACACTGCTACTTGTCTGTTGTATTTCTTAGCATCAGCATTTATATTTAGCCTGTGTGGCCTTGTGCTAATTCAGCCCACAACAGTACCTTCTTTGGCACTGTTCTAGAGTGATTATGTCAGCCTTCTCCATGCATGTGGCTGGTACACAGGCTGTCGCTAACGCCTTTCCTTGTTTCCCTTAAGATGGCAGGGACACAACTATATTTAGGGTCAAATTGTTCCCTTCTGTGTTAAAAACCATTGAAGTGGACTCGGGCAAGAAATCTCCAAAAGGATCCCTTTGCAAAAGTCCCTTTTGGAAGAGATTTACGAAAGATACTATGTTCTTTGAGAATGTCAGTACATACGTGGAATCGTAGTCATAATCTCCTGCCATTTGAAGTTAGTGATTATATAAATATAAATAGTGCTTCCTTCCTGACCCAAGATACATATGGAGATAGAATTTAGAGTGCCTCAGCCTTAATAATTCATTTCCCCAATCGCTGGTAGATTTTGTCTATGTCTTCCTCTAAAGGCCTTTCCACACAAATCTTCTATATTTTTCAGTTGACCTTTTTTTTTTTTTTTTTTTTTTTGATATTTTTCTTCTGGTAGCCTTTGAACATAAGACTTCCTATATATTTCTTCATTAATGGTTTTCTTGTATAGCCAAATATGTATGGTCACACACACTTTCTTAGACATACGTTCATATACCTGTAAATGTACGGTTCTCCAGAGTAGCTCATATGTATAAGGCAAAGCACAGCTCATTTCTTCAGTAAAGGTCAGTTTAAAGTTGAAGTGCTTACTTTAAAGATTTGTAGAGAACTGAAAGTCAAAAGTATAGGAAGCAAAATGATCAAGTATTTTTTTAATCTGTTCTTTTGCATTAAGGTTACACGCACTGGCTCAAAGTGTACAATTTGTGAGACTCACTTGGAGCTTAAAACACTAATCTTGGTCTTTCTTTCCCTGAAATACCATTTTTTTTCCTACTTAAAATGCCCCCATTTTTTGTTTGTAATTTCACAGACTTATCTGTGCAGGTCCCACAGCCATGCTTACACTAAAGCAGCATCTGCTTTAGTTTGTTTACTTGTTTGTGTTAAACAAAAGTCAAATGTACTAATGCGTGCAGCCCAACAAGAATCTACAGAGCCTAGCTTCCCAGATCCATTGTGCCCTTCCTATCCCACTGGCCCCTTCCTAGCAATTTAGTGAGGCTGCCCTTCTTTCTCACTGGTGGGTTGGACTCTATTTTATTAGTTTTAAAAACAAAGAAGTATTTATTTTTGTAAAGGTTTCCCTTGGTATGTGTGCCCTGTTTTGGTATGTATTCCAGTGACTTCTTATTGCATGTTGATACTTGGCTTGATAAGTTACCAGTGTCCTCTAGAGGAGCATAAGAACTCAGATCTAATTTTCGCATATGTGTATAAAAGGAAATTATTGGTCTTTTCAGAATCAGTGCATGATACTCTGTTAAAGAAAACTGATTTCAGGAATTTATACTGGATCTTTCAATTGCTTGAAATGTATTATTTTAATTGAGGATTTATTAAAAATTATTGTGACAAGAAAAGCCCTACTATCAATTTCTTTTTAAAAGGTGGTGTTAGAGGGCTTATTCCTTCACCACCACCCACTTCCCTGGTCCTTCTCGCATGAACAGAGAGCAACAATACCTGGAGTCCAAAGGTGCAAACAATTTGATGTTTATTAGGGTGAACTTCCAGCAAGCTTAAATCCAAGTTACTTTTTCCTTATTTTCGAATCCCAACTTACTTCCTGTTTGTCCCTAATTTATATAGTAATATTCTCAGCTATATCTTAACCAATCATTTTACTGAAATTTACCTAACCAATCCTAACATATTGTAACATGATTAGCTAACCAATTATATCCCACCACCTTAATTAGTTAACACCCAGCAAAATTAATTGTACAGCAGACAGAAACAATTACAGAACCAGACAGAGACCATGCAAATAAACCATACCAAAGTGGGAACTATAATGACAAAACAATACAGAAGTGAGGATTTTACAACTGCATCTATAAAGACATAGACAGCTGTGTCTATTGATAAGTGAGTTCTTACCAAACAGAAAACTATCAAACTAAATTGCCTTTTACATCTTCTAGGCTCTTCCCTTTCTCTGGAGGTGATGGATCGGATCACCTTCCGAACAGCCCCAGGTTGCCTTATGTCAATGTGAATAGTTTGGACTGTGAGGATCAGGGGCGGCTCTAGCTTTTCTGCCGCCCCAAGTACGGCAGGCAGGCAGGCAGCCTTCGGTGGCACGCCTGCGGGAAGTCCGCCGGTCCCGCGGCTTCGGCGTACCCGCCGCCGAAGCCGTGGGACCAGTGGACCTCCTGCAGGCGTGCCGCCGAAGGCTGCCTGATGGCCGCCCTCGCAGGGACTGGCAGGGCGCCCCCCGCAGCTTGCCGCTCCAGGCACGCGCTTGGAGCGCTGGTGCCTGGAGCCGCCGCTGGTGAGGATGTGACCATATGCTTCCCAGCTTATGGCTGTTCCCACTGCTTAGCCAAAGGCCTTAGCTTAAGAACAGGGCCTCAGACTGTCACAGTGAGAGAAGGCCCTTACACAGATTCTTTCTTTTATACCTCTATAACTAGCTAAATGATAACAAGGAGTCTGGTGGCACCTTAAAGACTAACAGATTTATTTGGGCATAAGCTTTTGTGGGTAAAAACCTCACTTCTTCAGATGCATAGAGTGAAAGTTACAGATGCAGGCATTACACATGGAGAGAAGGGAGTTACTTCGCAAGTGGAGAACCAGTGTTGACAGGGCCAATTCAATCAGGGTGGATGTAGTCCACTCCCAATAATAGATGAGGAGGTGTCAGTTCCAGGAGAGGAAAAGCTGCTTCTGTAATGAGCCAGCCGCTCCCAGTCCCTATTCAAGCCCAGATTAATAGTGTTAAATTTGCAAATGAATTTTAGTTCTGCTGAGAAACAGCATTAATTTAACACCATTAATTTTTTGATGTGTTGATTCTACAGAATATTGTGTCCAAGATGTAGAAGGTGCTATTCAGTAATGCAGAGAAAAATATAACAGTAAGGAACTTGCCATTTTCTCAAACAGTGAAAATAAACAAAAAAAATGAGAGGATTTCTCAGGTGCAAGTATTTTTATTATTTATTGTTAATGTTTATTATGGTGTTGCCTAGGTGCCAACCAAAAATTGGGGGCCCATTGTGATAGGCACTCTACAAACACAAAAAAATAGTAGCCCTGAAGAGTTTTTAGTCTAAATAACTTTAGTATGGGTAGAGGTTGGGCACACTGTTTAAATGTCATGAGAAAAAAGTAATGCCTAATGCAATCTTAAAGCACGTTGTGGAAGTTCAAAATGTTGCATGCAAATACCATCAGCCTCATGGTCAGTCGGTTGCTTGATTGGTTGCTTTGTTGATTTGATTCAAAAAGTTGCATTGGAAAACTGTCTTAAAATTTGCTCTGATAATAAGGACTTCGATCAGAACACAGCACACATTTTTACACTTCTATTACTTAGCCAACATGGCTTCTTCCTTCTACAAAGTTCATAGGTTGAGCCCAGAACAAGAAGAAGAGGCTGAAACATGGCTATTATTGGAACATGACTCTAAGATCCTTCCTTGTCTACCGGCATTTAAATATGAAGATTCAAATTTCTACTCCAAAGCTGTTTGTGAAGGAGATTGTTTCTTAGTTCTCTGCATCAAAAATGGTGGAAAGTTGTGGCAGTTACAAAAAGAAAGGAGAGTTGAATTCAAATTTTGACTAGCTAGCTCTCCCTCAATCAAGGCTTTAGCACATTGTAATTAGTTTGGTTGAAACTTGGTAATTGTCTTGATATTAAGAAAGCAAATCTGAATGGGAGGACTTAAAAGTTGATAGATTTACTAAATTAAGGGATTTTTAGGGGGGTTCTTTAATTGGTCATTCACTAGGTTTTGTTCTTTTTCAGACCAGGAAAAAACAGCAACCCCAAATATTGGAAGCTTTTTGCAGGTAGGGTACCAATTTTAGTCCATACACAGCAGACCTTCCTCATTCAAAATTCCTGCTGAAGTCTATCATAGCTGATGTACAGCCTTGGACATTAAAGTCTAGTCTACTGAGGCAGTTAATATTGATCAGACAACCTGTGTTATTACATACCCTATCTGAAAAGTGCCTTGAAATATTTAACTTTCACCTGAACTGTTCTCAGAGCATGGTGGACCAAGCCACTGTGACCCAGAAACCTCTTAGTGCTACCTGGCAGGGGGCACAGAGTGGGTGCATAGGGGTTACAGGAATCTCCTGCGTCTGGCATGCACATTCTGATTCACCAAAGAATGTAATATGAGGTCTCAGATAAAAAACGGTGTCACAGTTGTCATCAGTATCATTGCAACATGCACGTACAGATGTTGTGTAAAGAGTTATATGTGTATATACTGAAAATATGTTCTTAAAGTCTGTGTCTAGGTACTAGTCACCAGCAAAGCTGAAAAAAAAAGTTTTGTGTCGGAGAAGAGATGTCTAGCCATCAACCTGTTTACATGTAAATTGAGTATAGTCTCATTCACCACTCTGAACTGAATGCAAATGAAAGATTGTAAGAACTTCAGAAAGAAACTAAAACGAAGAGAGAAACAGTGGGAGAGGAGAACACTTCAAAGATTTGCTCTATGATTGGGGGTAAAGATACGCTGGTATTGCTCACCTCAGAAGCAAATGGACAGCAAATTTGCTTCATGAAAGTGGGGTCTCCACCAGGCTTGGCTGGAAATGCTTTAGAGAACTTTGGGTGAGAAACTTCTTTAGCAGTAGGTTAACTGATTAGTTGAGTTTAGTTTCTAGAAAATGTGTTATGATTTTGTTTTATGTGTAGCCATTAGTTTCCAATATTTTCACTCACTATCACCTGAATATCTCTTCTTTGATAGTAAACTTATTCTTGTTTTCACTATAAAATGTATCTAAGGCCTGTGGTGTTCAGCAGAGTGCTGGTCCTGAGTTGAATCTTACAAGCTGGTGTGCACTGTTCCTTTGGGGACAGCAGGCCTGGTAATTCTGTAACTGTTCAGTGGATAAGGGGCTGGACACTTCAGGGAGCTCTCCGAGAACACAGAGGTTGGTGCGAAACCATTGCTACTACAGAGAAAGGGAGGCCTCAAAGGCAGTGCTTGTGCTGTCAGAGGTTGATGGTTTCAGGGACCTGATTCACAGCAGGCACAGACAAGACCCCCTTCATGCTAAGGGCAGGTGGTGGTGAGGTGCCTCACAACCCTGGGTATCCCTGGGGAACATCACAGCCACTGTGTTTTGTTAACGGAGCAACAGATCTAGGTCAGATGGGAGGTGGTGGAAATAGTTCTGGAAATGTACTCAGCAATTTAAAAAAAATATTAACTACAGAGAAGAGGCTGTTAAAGGAAATGTGCCCTATTTAGCAGGGAGGCTGAAATGGGTAAAGGGAAAATTTATTCATAATTGAATGGAATTATGTTAACCAGTGCTGGTTAGCAGGAACATTTTAGAAGAGGTGGTGATGAACCAAAGAGTGAATGAATTCAGCCTGTTCAGAAAAGTATGTATCTTGAACATTAAAAGCTTTATAAATCTTCATAGGCTAAATGTAGTTGAAGAAGCATAGGTGAGAGCAGAATTTGTCCCCTGATATTTTAGGATGATATTACTGTAGTAGGTAAACATTGGGGTTGTCTTTTTTCTTCATCTTATGTAACAGCTGAATAATGATTTATTTTCTAAGTATGTTTAATAGTTGCTTAACTATGTTCATTTACCTTGGAGGAGGAGATATTAAGGTCCATTATAATTTATAAGAAAATAAGATATAAAAATTCAGTTTACAATAAAATTCCAGTTCTGTGCTTGTATTACAAGAAGTGCATACTATAGCCTATAAAATGTATTGTGCTGCTTCATGTCTTTTGCAGAGCTCGAAGGCTAAACTGTATTTCAGAGTTTCAAATAAACTATTTTAGTCCTATCTTTACTCAGTGAATAACCTTAGAGCATCTATAATCTCAGTGGTGTAAGACGGGTAACAAACAGTTCAAGCCCTAATAAAATTGTAAGGCATATCATACTTGTGCCTCATAGCTCACTTACTTTGCACTTTATTGCTGTAAAACCGTTAGCAGATGGAAGTGAGACATTATTGGAATCCAGTGCAGTGATGTGAAACAGCAATATACTGGTAGTATGTTATCTTTGATTAAATTATAGTTGGCACATGGAAACAGTACTATTTGGCTAACCTTACTGTTATTCCTTTTAACAAGGGAGTTTGCTGACAATAGCCTCTTTGTGAGTCTGGAGTTTTTGGATAAAGCTCTTATATATTTAATCTCAATTTTTGTTATAGACAGAAAACTCAAAACACTTAATTTGAATTCATGGGCAGGTCTCTTTATATGTCTGGTTGTTATTACAGCTTAAAGGTAATTCTAAAAGTTTAAAAGAAAACAGAAGTGTGTTGATCTTGTAAGAATGCTACAATTAAATCCAATTTTATTATGTTATTGTTAAATTGCAAATAGTGAATATCAACTTCATCAGAGACTCATAGACTTCAAGGCCAGAGGTCTGTTGGTTAATAAAATAAAATTGTATTAGCTCTTTATTAATTTGCTCTTACTTTACATAGTTTGTGGCCTGTTTTCCTATGATCAGTTATGGTAGACATTAATGCACTGATGCATATCCATCATATTTTAGCTTCAGGAAGTCCAAGGGTTTAAACTAAACTTGCATTGTCTTTCACGTATTGTAATTATTTTCATGTAATTCCTTTGAAACTTGGATTGGCTTTAAAAAGGGGAGGATCATGATTTTGTGGTATGAGAAATTGACAAAAATAGCATCTTAGACTGCTTACTTAAAAATAATGAAAGTTTTGGTTCTGGATTATCAGAAATACATAGTTTCAACCCATTATAATTAGGATGACACTTTCTAATGTTTAGGAGAGGGTAATACATCACAATATCTGCAAGAGACTTCTGACCCCCAGGTTGTCATATAACATGTTGAGGCCCTTTTAGGCATGTATCTTGAGATAAAAGACAGGCAAGATGTATCCAAAAATACCTCCATCAGTGTTTACTGATTATCCACTAACCAATAGTAGGCATAAAGCTAAGTCAGTGTTCCTGTTATATAGAAATAAACTGTACTCTACCTAGAGATGCATCAAAGCCAACTGACAACACTGGGGGCATCACTGTGCCCTACGAAAAGGAAATGGGGCTTTGCCACTTTTTGGTCTCCGCTGAAAGTGACACAATATCATTACAAGTACACATGGATGCTTCTTTTATTCATTGGATCAAGAAAAGTCTGTTACATCTTTGTAGTAATTATTTTTATTTTACATTTTCTCACCAGAAGAAAAATCTCATTGTACAGCAAAAAAGGACAACTCACTGAAACAAATACCTCCACGTAAATGGAGGCAGCTGAATTGTGGCATCAGTGGCATGAAAATGAATGCTACATAGCCATTGACAACACCAATGATAGGGGAGAGAATAGTTTACTGATCTTAAAAGCATAGTACTAAAGCTACATGAGATAAATAACCTGCAAGAAGATACAGAGCAATCAAACGTACTCAATGTAGAAAAGATTCACTAAAAATTGTGCACCAAAATGTGACTTATGAAACAGAAGCTATGTCTTTAGATTTACAAAGCACTACAATAGATAGATGTTAACCCTATGAGAGCTTTGCAAATTTGGTTTGGCTAGGTTCCAGGCTCTAGATGAGTGTACAATAAATAATAGTGTGACCTGTATGTAGGTGACTATCAATACATGCTTGAAGAAACAGAAATGGCTCCTATGGCACTCTTGCAACATGATAGAGGACTGGAAATATTTGCCTTATGTGCCCAAGAAATGGTGGCCTGTTCTACTTGCCGATGTTTATTAAGTGTACGTATGCAGCAAAAGGAAGACACCTGCTAGTCAGAAGTCAGACAATATTGCCATAATTGTGCTTAACCATATGTTCACAAAGGGGACTATCCCGCATGAGTTAGGGTCCTACCAAATTCACAGTCCATTTTGGTCAATTTCACAGTCATAGGATTTTTAAAATAGTAAATTACAGTGTTGTAATTGTAGGGGTCCTGACCCAAAAAGGTGTTGTGGGGGGTTGCAAGATTATTGTAGGGGGGGCTGTGGTACTGCTACCGTTACTTCGGCGCTGCCGCAGGCAGTTGCATTGCCTTCAGAGCTGGGCAGCTGGAGAGTGGCAGCTGGGAGCCCAGCTCTGAAGGTAGAGCCGCTGCCAGCAGAAGTAAGGGTGGCGGGGTATAGTATTGCCACCTTTACTTCTGTGCTGCTGCCTGCAGAGCTGGTCCCTCAGTCAGCAGCCGCCACTCTCCGGCCACCCAGCTCTGAAGGCAGCTGCACAGAAGTAAGGATGGCTGTACCACAACCCCCCCAAAAAATAACCTTGTGACCCCCCCCCCCGCAACGTCCTTTTCGGTCAGGACCCCCAGTTTGAGAAATTCTGGTCTCTCCCGTGAAATTGGTGTTGTAGAAGGTAAAAGTACACACAAGACCAGATTTCACGGTCTGTGATGCGTTTTTCATGGCCATGAATTTGGTAGGACCCTACACATGAGAGTGAACCTATGGCATTTGTGGAAAGAAATGTTTTTCTGAGGGGCTACAAGTGCTAGCCCTGTTTTCAAGAACTATTTGTAAATAACACCTGTTTAAAAACAACACAACAAAAAAAACAAACAAAATGCAGATGCAATCTCACCATCGCTCCTCTGACGACATCTGCTTTTGATACGTTCCATCCCATCCACTACTCTTTATCTATTCATTATCTATTTTGATTTTAAGCCTTCTGGGTAAATGGCTGTGTCTGCTGGTCTGCAATGTACAGTGCCTAGCAGAGAAAGAGCACCTTGGGTCAGTATGTCACAGCAAGAAGCCAACTGACAGTCATGTCATCACAAATTTTCAAACTTCTGATT